GTCTGTCCCAGCCCTGCTCGCTCCAGTGCTCGGAGAAGACCTTTCACCTGACGCTCCCAAGGGACCTTCGGCTCGGTGCCCCCCAAGTCTCGCTCCGTCGATAGCATCACCATCTAGCTGGTGCCTAAACCTGGCACCATCTTTCACTCCTGCCCCGACCGAGAAGCTCCACTGACCTGACTCCGAGACGTCTCCCGCCAGCACCCCACTTCCTGACTGCTCCGCTCTGCCGAGCGGTGAGCCCGCTGTGCCGGGTTCCGTTCCCAGGCCTGGCCACCTCGCTGCGTCCCGTCCACCCACTGGGCCGGCATTCACCTACCGGCCCCCACCTTCCTTCCCCCTCAGCCACCCTTCCCCCAAACCAACAAGGTCAGTTCCGACCGACTGACTTTCCCGTCCTTGTGTTCCCTCATTTCACACACCCCGCCTCATCCCCTGCGTCCTGTCTCCGTGTCCGCTATGTGAATCCACCACCCACGAGCTCTGTCACTGTCTGCTCTGCCCGTCAAGCTCTGCTTTAACAGCTTCCGCCGGCTTGTGACAGTTCCTTAGTGGGCCTGGGGTTTACTTTTTAAGGTTTTGCGTTAGGCCGTGGCCTGCAAAGTCAGGCACGCACACTGGCAGACGGCTCTGAGCAGGCGCCGCTCCCCTAAGGTGGGCGGCCTGTCCTCGGTGGCGACCTTACCTGTAACTCCCTCTCCTCCTGCCTCAGCATGTCCCTGAGGATTTGGGCGGCGTGCTTCTGGAATTCGGGATCCTGAGAATGGAGAATAAGACGGTGGTGACAGCTTGGTGGCCTCTCCTCCGCCTGTTGGCCATCGGGCAAGGAGTGGGGACGAGGAGTGGGGAGCCAGGTCGCACGCCCGGCAGGGGCACTGGGCCTCAGCGAGCGTGGCGTGCGTCTTCCGTCAACCCCGCCCTGAGCTGCCCGCCGGGCATCGCACTGCTCTCCAGCTCTGGGACTCGCTGGCTCCGTCCTCCGTCCAAGGGGAGACCCCCCTCCTCCCGTCTGCATCTCCGCCTCCTCTAACCCCTCCCACAGCTGGCCCTGGTCCTCGGGGTCTCCCTACTCGTCTGTCCGCTCCTGACCCCCCTACAGGTGCAGCTCCATATCTGCTCCTCCAGGAAGCCCCTCCCCGCCCCCTGAGGTCCGTACCCCTGTAACGATGACCGGCAACAGTGTTTACAGATGCCCCATCCCTGCCTGGGGGCGTGCACTCCATGGTCACCCCTCTCTCCATGGGAGGCGACCCTCACAGGGCCTCCTCGGAGTCGTCCACACATTCGGGGCACACGGTGCTGTCCGGCAAACCACCCCCGCGTCCCCATGGCGGGAGGACGTGTCTGGCTTGTCTCTGCTTACGGCATGCACTCCACCTGCCCTGCTCTCGTCCTGGTGTGGGGGGGCATTCGAGGGCCAGCGGGGCGAGGGCGGGAGCAGGAGAACCTTACCTGCAGCGGTCTGGGCCCTGTGACGCGCTGTGGAAGGGGCGGCGGTGGATATTTACAGAATCATGCATGTGGTAACTGAAACTGTCTCTTCAGGATGTCTCAGCGGGCAGCCGACCCACTGATGGAGCTTTGAGGCTGGCATCCTACTATGCATTCTGTAAGCGTCTGCTTAGTAGGGGCGGCGGTGGCGGGGGGGGCGGCGGAGGGGCTGCAGGCAGGACCCGGGGAGCTCTGGCTGCGTCCTGCGGGGGCCCGGGGACGCCGACGGCCGAGGGTGAGGAGCCCAGGAGGGTGAGTGCGACGTAGGCACCGGCTGGGGGATGGACAAAGGCCTGCTTGGCGACATTCTGCACAGCGGTGACCAAGCCAGGAGGTTCCTTTCCGTCCTCCTTCACCACGCCTGTCATTTTGCAGACGACGTCCCTCACGTGCAGGGGCCCCACCCTCTACGTCCCGCTTGTCTCCCTGTCCACGCACAGACCCCAGCCACGTTCCAGCCGCGAACACCCGGGAACGCTCTGGGGGGCTCCCCCATCAGCCCGTGGCCTCCTCTGCCGCACCCCAGTGCGCGGCTGCCCGGCCCATGGCAGGCGCTCAGGCGCTCAGGCGCCAGCCCCCCTGTCCAAACCCCCACACCCCCAACTCTCCTCGAGCATCCGTGAACAGTCCGTGAACAGCCGTGAGCGAAGCCCGCTCTCGGACGGTCTAGCGGGGAGCGCCCAGACGGGGCGGAGACAAGAGGCTGACGAGAGGCTGGCAGGGAGCTGCGGCCGGACGCAACGCGCTGCTGCCACGTCTGAGGGGGAGCCCAGGTCGACAGCCCCCACTGCTTGGCCGTCTGCTCCCCTACTTTTTCAGGGATCAGCTCTCTGCAACTCACATTTGATGAGCTTCACCACCTCCAGATGCGAGCTGTTGGTCACCATGGTGCCGTTCACCTGTTGGGGGACAAACGATGCTGAGCAATGGGGTTTGAGACCCGGGCCCTGCACAAGGTGCAAACAGCGCTCCTGTGGGAGCCATCTCGACGTCCGCCGGCCGCCTCCGGCCACCTCTCTCCAGGCCACACGGCGCACTTGTTCCTATTCGTGCTGGCCCCGCGCCCTGGCTTCCCCGCGAGTCTGTGAGTCTGCAACCGTGTGCGTGCGTCGTTCACTCGTTTTTGGTGTCTGTCCTTCCAGCCATCAGCCTGTACTCCTGCTGGCTGACTCCGGGCTGTCCTCACCCTGAATTCCCTAACGGCTCTGAGACTCTGCACTGCAGAAGAGTGAGCTGAATCGGCAGGACGGGTGACAGCAGTGAGAGGTGGCGGGACCCAGAGCCAGCGCTGAGTGCAGGCTGGAGCACCAACCCGGGACCTGGAGGACCCAGCCTCTTCCTCTTCACCCTCTTTTGCTCAGCCGTGCGACGGGAAGAATGAAACCTGTCCCAGAAGCTCGGCTACTTGCGGGTCGAGAAAGGCCTAGAGCGTGGA